AGTATATATATATATATTAGGGCTGTTCAAATTTGTAATCTAATTAACTACATGATGTTTCGATTAATTAATCTAATTAATCACAAAATAAATTTGACTGTGAAAATACCCACAAAAGTTTATTTAAAGCTATGTGTTAAATGAGAAAGTATCAAGTAGACATTACAAATTGTAGCTTTAGAAATAAATATTTTATTTGATTCAACATAAAAGTTATTACACATAAACATTTAGGCTACAACGGCCTAACATATACTATGGAACATAAAAGAAGATAATTTGAGAAACATCTCAGTATTTTTTGTTCATACAATGAAAGTCATTGATAACCAAAACAGCTTTAGTTACCAACAGTCTTCAAAATACATTATTTATGTTCCACAGAAGAAAGGTTTGAAACGACATGAGGGTGAGTAAATGATGACAGAATTACAATTTTTTGGGTGAAATATCCCTTTAATGTTTTTATTCTATTATTATTATCATTATTAATTCATTAATACTTTTTTTAAATTAAATGATACTCTAATAAGAAAATAAATCTGCCAGCAGGTGGCGGTAAATGTCTTTATGAGTCATTGATTTTTTTTTAGATTCGTTCAAACGGCTGATTCATTCAGGAATTAAGTAAATGGCTCTCTGAATAGGCCTTTGAATCATCGATTCACACGATTCGTTCAAAACGCGGATTCATTCAGAAACTAAACACCGCTGTTTTGCTCGGAGATGCAACAGTTCTGCTGTGGCTTTAAAGGTAATATATATTCTCTGCAACATTGAACAAAAACACAATATCAACTTCTTATTTACTGAACTGTTGTATAAAATCACATTTAAACTCGTGATATTCAGGACAAAAACAGCGCTCGTGTGATATCATATGAAATAAATATGAGACAAAAATTCATACAGGGGCATTTTTGCCCCAATATAAAAGAAGATAATTTGAGAAACATCTCAGTATTTTTTGTTCATACAATGAAAGTCATTGATAACCAAAACAGCTTTAGTTACCAACAGTCTTCAAAATACATTATTTATGTTCCACAGAAGAAAGTTTTTTAGATTCGTTCAAACGGCTGATTCATTCAGGAATTAAGTAAATGGCTCTCTGAATAGGCCTTTGAATCATCGATTCACACGATTCGTTCAAATTGCGATTCATTCTGAAACTAAACACTGCTGTGTCATAGAGCACAACAATTCTGCTAGGGCTTTATCTTCTCTGCAAAATTGGGCAAAAACACGTAATATTGTGTTTAAATAACAATAACACAATATCAACTTCTTATATACTGAACTGTTGTATAAAATCACATTTAAACTCATGATATTCGGGACAAAATCAGTGCTCGTGTAATACCGCTCTCCCTGCTGGTGTGATATTGTATGATATAAATATGAGACAAATACTCATACAGGGGCATTTTTTTGCACTAATATGTTTAATTTTAGGGCATAACTGCATTTATGGAGTTGTTGCCCTGCATCATATTTGTCAACAGTCAACTGTATGAAATATAAGATGACGTACAGGTCTGGGGGTGGGGCCAATGCGTTAACTAATATTAAAATATTTTAATCACGTTATTTTTTCATAACTAATTAAGTTAGTTAATGCGTTAAACTGACAGCCCTAATATTTTTATATATTTTTTAATGCAATTGAATATTGTATAAAATGTCTTTTGACAATCGTCTAAAGGTCAAGAAGGATATCATGGTTAAAAATATTGGATTTTTGCAGGTTTTATGCCTTATTCTTCACTTACTGTTTTGCAGGACTGCCAGAAGTTAAAACATTTTACACAAAATGATCACATACTATTAGATTAATAGTAGGCTGTTGTGATTTTAGGTGAGTTTGTGTGTTTTACCTGAGAGTAGTTGTCATGTCTTGCACAGATGCTTTATTAGTGTTGATTCTCTCTTCTGTATCTCCTTCATATGAGCCTATAATTGTTCATGACAGCCCTAATATATATATATATATATATATATATATATACATATTTATAACATGTATAATACATATTTATATATTACATATAATTTATATTTATTATAAATGCATATATTGTCAATAGCAAAATCAGCCATTTTTGTTGCTGTATGATGAAGCATGCATGATCTGAAGTGTTTTTACGTTACATTTTTTTTCTAGGATTACTAGTGATTTGTTACATTTGTGCAGCAGCAGTGTGAGATCTGTTCATTGCTTGTGAAACATCACAAAGGCATCATTCAGTGAAGGAACATGATGACCCTAGACTGTAACATGGTGTAATTCATTTTTATCAGCACTATTAACAGTGCCAAGGTCACACAAAGGCAGTTCAGCAATGTTTGTACTATATGGCAATATTTAGCAAGCATAAATGACAAGAATGACATTTTGTAATTGCCATTCCTGTTTCTATAAACTAATAAACAAAAGAATGAGCTACATAGTACTTTTTTATGTTGCTTTGTCAAAAGTAGGGTTAGTGGCAATAAAAATTCTGAATACATTGAAAGGTTTATGAGTCATATATTAGCTAATTCCAATGAGTAACTGATGAAAGAGACAAATACGATTTAAGAATATATGCAATCAAAAATAAATTAAAAAAACTTCTTTGTAAAGTGATGAGTTCACCCAAAAATCATTTACTCAGATTGTTCCAAACCTGTGTGACTTTCATTCTGTGGAACATAATTGAAGATATTTTGAAGAATGTCTCAAGAATGAAGAAAGTTTATTTTTTGTCCATAAGGCTTCCAACTTTCAAATATGTTCCGCGTTCCATATAGAAGAAATTCATACAGGTCTGGAACAACATGAGAGTTAAAGCTTTCACTAATTCATACTGTCCCCCAACTGTATCTAGAGAGGGTGAAGGTGTGAAGGGGGGAAAAAAAAGACATTCAGCAATAAAAAGAGAAGAAGCAGTGTGATGGAGTGAGGCTAAGCTACACTTTATTCAATGCAGTACAGTATCAGGTGACTTCTCTGAATCAGAGCACACAAGGGACAGAACACATATCAGTATGACGTTCAACATACTGTCATGTACAGAGAAAATAATAATAATAATAAAATAAAACAAAAAATAATAACTATGTTATTTATTCAGTTTTGGTGCCTGTTGATTAACTCTTATGGCTACCAACAGTTCACGTTTGTATATTTCTCCATTTTCCCTTTCATCTCATATTTGTCTCAAATATGAGTCACTGAGAAATGTGATACTTGACATGCTGAGTAAATCGTGAAGCAACGTGACTGCTAACAGCACTGGCTTATGTGCAAGAATGTACTCAAAAACATATTTTAATAAAGCTTATGAAAAAGGTTGTAGCGCTACATGACGTCACTGCCTATAAGTGCTGCTGAAAGTATTTTACAAAACCCCAAACACAAATCAAAAATATATTATTGCAAAATAATGACTTAACACTGTAGATACATCACACCATATTCTCACGTATTATACATAATCATAAAAAAAATTAAATGATTAAAAAACCCCTGTAAATATAAGAGATTTTCCATATCAATTAAAAGAACGTAAAATAAATTCCTCCAACAAGAGGATTAAGAGAAAGTCCTTCTGAAACTCGAAGTTAAAAAATATAAAAAAAGAAAGAAAAAAAAAGAAAACACTGTTCAATCTATTTTCCCTGCTATGACAGTGAACTGTCCTTAACAAGAGCTCAGAAGATGAAATTCACAAGTTCCCTTTGCCAAGCATACATTAAACGCATTTTAATACATACTATACTGAGAGTGATGGAGCACCTTCATACAATATCATATACTTGGTAATTTAAAAAAAAAGTTCAAAAGAACATTAAAGGGACAATTCACCCAAAAAACTGTCATCATTTGACATTTTCTCACCTTCATATTGATGCAAATCTGTACTTTTTCATGTAAAAAAATAAATAAAACAAAATAAAAATAGTGAGATGCTGAATCGTTTCCATACAATGAAAGTGGATGATCATCATCTTTTTCAAACACCAAAAATTACAAAAACAATCTCAGCTAAAGCTTTCAAATCTCAAATATGCTCACATATTTTAAAATATGGCAAATCTGGGTATTACATTAGGTTTTATTTTAGTGATGCCAAGCATCTCCAAATTTGACCACAACACAGTATTTGAGAGTTAGGGAGTTAGAAGTGAATTATTAGTAGTTAACCACTTAATTTGCGTTTTCCTCACATAAAATGATTGTATGACTTCAAGAAGACTTTTAATGTAGCACACAAGACATGAGGATTACACTATATAATAACTTTTGTTTTGTCATTTTCATGGTTTTACAGCCCTTAGTCACCAATTACTTTCATTGTATAGAAAAGATCACTTAAAATAAAAAGAAAACATCTCCATCTATGGTTTATGGAAGAAAATAAATCATATGAGTATGGAACAACATGAGTGTGAGCAAACAATGCTAATTTTCATATTTGGGTGAACTATGGCTTTAAGTGGGCAACAGAACAGATGGATATTCTTTCAACAGCACTTTAGGAAGGGACATAAACAGTCTGAAGTGACTCTTCTGTACTAATTCACGACCGTATTCGGAGGAACAAGATACAACAGCCTCGGTTGTGCACTTCCACTAACACTAGGGGACACTAAAAAGGACGAGAGGAAGAAAAACAACAAGAAATGGAAGCGAATGAGACTGTCGAGAAAACGTTCCCATCTTATCTTCTTCCGCCTCATCATTAGTGTCAATTTCCTGACAGAGCAGTCCACAGATGGTTCAAGGGTTCAAACTGCTTTCAGCTACTCATTCCAGCTAAATTCTAACCCAAATGACACGATTTTGAGAACTAAACCCAACATCTTCCTTAAAGGGGTCCTATTATGCTTTTTCACTTTTTCAACTTACTATTCGAGCCGTTCATGCCGGACTGGGGAGAGAGGTGTTGTAATAATGTAAAATATGTGAAAAATAATGTTTTTCGAACAACCTAGTATGAGAGCATGTTCTAGTACACCCACAAAACAAAATCAAGAATTTGTAAAAGAGCATAATAGGACCCCTTTAAGGCTGGAATTTGCGGTGCAGAAACCTGTTCACATGTTCCGTTTTAAGGTCCTGATTATCTTTTTTTCTTCATTTCGTGCTTGTTTCTTTTAGCTCACTAATCAGCATACGGTATTTATTTATAGACAAAGATGTACAGCATGCACTCTCTCGCTCTCACACACACACAAACACACACACACACACTCGATCACAAAAAATGACACGATATCACGTGTGTCAACATCTGTAGAGTTCAGTGACGTATTACACAACAGGAAGAAAGAAGCGGAGCAGGAAACGAATGGATAATGTCACTCCTTCAAAAGTGGTCGAAAACAAAGAGGTACACCGCAGCATACAGCTTAAGCATACAACATATCCGCCCATAATACTGAGGGAAAAGGCAAAAGTCATTAGCATATATTTCACATAGTCTACAGAATGTACACAAGCCCTGGAAATCAGTCCGGGCCGTTGAACCGGTTCAGGATTTGGTCGTATCGGACCAATCAGGAACCAGCTTTCCTGTATCCCACCTGCGCCATCTGTGTCAGCTCATATTCAAAGTCTCTGTCTCTACCCATAATTAACCAGGAAAGGGGCCAAGACGATTATAAAAGAAGCAGCGGCTACAGCATACAGATTTCCCTTTAAAAAATGTCAAAGTAGACATGTGAAAACATATTTGTAGGTGTAAAGGTTTATGTAAGTGTATATATATATATATATATATATAGAGAGAGAGAATTGTCAAACATCACCGCAGATAGTTCTGAGGCGGTGTTTCTGAGCCCTCGTTGCGTCCGTTAGAGCAAATAAATAAATAAAAAATAATAATAAAACCAAAGACAATGACTGGGGGAAGGTTTGGTTGGTGCATCCATCATATCATGAGCTTTTCGGTTAGTTTTAGCCACGCCCCTTAAACCCCAGAGAGTGGGCGTGGCTGATAAGCAGCAGCGTAAAAGTGGCCCATTGAGGGGTGGATGGGGTTCAAGTTGAAGAATTAGGGGCAGCAGAGGCAGCGTTGGTGTTCAGACCACGATCGCCGCTGTTAGCACCTGGAACCGTAAGAGAAGGTTATTAAAAAGAGCTGATGAGGACAGTCTTGGGGTTTGTGAGAGGCTGAAAGTGAAAAACCGACCTGTTGCAGCCAAGGCAGACTGGGAAGAGTTTTCCGCCTGGTTCTGAGCATGTGCAGGAATGAGTACGGAGGTCAGCGAGGGGTTACTGGACAACTCTGATCATTAAATGCAACAGATATTGGTGTAAAAGACAGAATCATGCACGTACAAACACATTTACAAAAAAAAATGTTTGGAGTCAGTACGATTTTTTTGGTTTTTTGAAAGAAATTAATACTTTTATTCAGCAAGGATGTATTAAACTGGACTGTACAATTAAACTAAACTGTACAAAACAGACAGTAAAGACATCTATAATGTTAAAAAAAGATTTTATTTCAAATAAATTCTGTTCTTTTGAAAGAATCCAGAAAAAAAATCAGTTTTCAGAAAAGCTGTTTTTAACATTGATAATTCTAAGAAATGGGTGGAGTAATGGCGGCTAAATGTTTCTTTAAGCAGCAAATCAGCATATTAGAAGGATTTCTGAAGGATCATGTGACACTGAAGACTGGAGCTTTGCATCAAAGCAATAAATTACAGTTTAAAATATATTCAAATGGAAAACAGTTACTTTAAATTGTAATAATATTTTACCACATTTTTGATCAAATTATCTCTGAGCCTAAGAGAAACAAAAACATTAAACATTAAAAATATTACAAACTCCAAATATGTGAATGGTGGTGTATATTTGCTATTAAAATGAGTTAATACTTGTTACAATACCTCAAAAAGATTCAATCAATCATCATCGTTTGTGCATTTGTGTGCAGCATACCCTGTGTAGTGAAATTAAACAGCACAGGCCGCTCTCTTCCATTCGGGAGCTTGAGGTTGGGCTCACGGAGCTCGTCGAAGAACGTGTGAGCACAGGCCTCCAGAGGAGTGAATCGGGACGTAGGCGTGTACTCCAACAATCGGGAACACAGAGCTATCGCCTCCGGAGGGGTCCGGGGCCGGAAAACCTAACATGTGGACAACAACACAGGACTTTTGAATGCTTTATACAAACTTCTGTATAATAATTTAAACTTTTGACTGCACACAAAAAAATTATTTTTGATATAGATTTGTACTCTTTGTTTTAAACAAGTCACAGGGGTGAAATTAAAGTACAATTGTGTTGGTAGAAAATACTCTTTAAGACAGACTCATAACATAACATGTAAAATAAGAAGGTTATATAGACCAGAATCACAGTCTAGAATTAAAGTAAGGAGAAAAGAGAAGGATGAAAGTGGAAATACTCATGCTAACCTTAGTCCACGGGTGTGCCTTTATCTGTGGAAACTTGAATTCAGTGTAATTTGGGTTCATCTCCCAGATCTGCTCTCGTGTAGGAGTTCCCAGCACCTGGAGGAAACAAGTTCTATTATTCTGTTGCAATTAAAATATATAGTCCACACCGCAACTATAACAATACAGAGAAACAATACAGCTGGAGTCACTTTCAGAGCAAATTTGTAAAAATTAAAAATTGACAACCATTCAAAAACTTCCAACTTGAAAGTGCGCTGCAATTACGTTCACAGAACATAACTGAAGTACACGCTCAGAATAAACATTATTGGCCATTGGTATGGATGGTAATATGGTTTATTTTTATAGCAGTGTTATTTTAGTATTATCAATATACTGTTATAGTATTTATTAATATTTAGATTTTTTTTTTTTTTTTCTTTCAGTTTTTGTACTTTAACTCTCAAGGTAACATTTAAATTTTCGTTTTAATTCAATTTTATTGTAATTACATTAATGAAAGAGTTTTTTAATTTTCGTTTTTGATGATGAGAACGACACTGGTTTATAGATATTCTTGGTCTGAACAAGGCTTAACTTATAGGAAGTAAGACTTTGTTTTTTTTTGAAGTGCTTTGAGGATTCGGCTGTAAACTGGGAGAGCTCCACAGAAAAAAGAATTATAACTGCATTTCACATTGCTCAAACTCTAGAAAAGTGCATTATGAGACACGTCAGCAATAACAAGAGTTGAAGCAATCAAAATGTTAAGATTATTTATGAAAACACACACACACACACACACACACACACACACACACACATACACGCTTACCTTGATGATTTCAACAAGCTGATCTACGCCACTGTCACCAGGAAAAATCGGCTGTCCAAGCAGCAGCTCGGCCAGTACACAGCCAGCCGACCAAATGTCTGTATGGAAACAAAGTTAAAGGGATACTCCACCCCAAAATGAAAATTTTGTCATTAATCACTTACCCCCATGTCGTTCCAAACCCGT